GGGCATCTGTGCCAGTCCCTCCCCCGGCCTCGCGGATGACCCCTGCCCGGGCGGCCCCCTCTGCTTCCTGGCCAGACGCCGCCCAGACAGGCCCCTCCCTCACAGACAGGCCCCCAGACAGGACCCCACCCCCTGGCGGGCCTGGACAGACCTCTGAGGCCATGGGTCGACCCTGGGACACCCACCCCTCCTTCCAGCCCCCTCCTCCTCCTGGGGCCTCCCCTGGGTGCCTGTTGGGCCCAGCCCTTCTTGCCCCAGACCTCACAGCCCAACTCAGCCCGGCCCGCCACCTGTGGTTGGCTCCACTTGGAGATTGCTGGAGTCCCCTGGGGCCCAACGTGGCAGGGATTCGTTAGACTGGAGGATCTGGGGAGCAGGTGGGGGTGCCATCAGCTCTGGGCTCCCTGCTGCAGGAGAGTGAGACTGAATCCCACTGCAGAAGGGCTGGTGCCAGCCTCTCTCAGTGGAGGGGCTGTGTCCTGAAAGCTAGGGCGGCCCCCCTCCCTGGGGTCTCTCCCCTCTGGGGCTCCCGTGGGACACAGCCCCAAGTCACCAGAAGCCAGAGCCGGAGGAGGCCGCAGCTGAGATTGGGGATGAACTGAAAGAACAAATCACCCCCCATAACACACCAAAGTCGGGCTGGGGGTGGAGTCTGGTGGCCTGGGGAGGCCGCCCACAATTACCACAGTTTGGGAGTTAGTTAGTTCCCACCCCTGTAAGACTTGACACGTAGTTCATCTTCACTTCTAGGGAAATGGTTTAAAGGGGCAGCATCCCCTAAACACTGGGCTCTTGGCTAAGCCCCCCACCCCCTTATGGAAGCCCCTTCCCCAGGAGAACAGAGGGAAGGGAGGCTGTGTGGACCCAGACCTTGGGCCCAGGCATCCTCAGAACACCGTTTGGTCCTTATTAAGACTTGCACGAGGAAGAGAGCAGCAGCTGTCTGCCTAGTCCCAATTCAGAGGGGGAAGGGGCTGCCTTGTGGTCACACAGCAAGGAAGGAAGGAGGGTAGGCAGGGTGTGTGGCAGCTGAGAGCCTTAAAGTTTGGTGCCTGCCATCTTATCTTGGCCCACGACATAGGCAGGACAGCTTAACGTTACAGAGGGAGCAAGTGGAGCCCAGAGAAGCACAAGCCTTGCCTGAGGTCACATAGCAGGTCACAGAACGGTGACTAGGACCCAGCTGTCCTGCCTCCAGCCCCTTTGCTGGAGCACACCTGGCTTCCACTGCTCCCAGGAAGGTGTGGGTGCTTCAGGGTCCAGGCTGCCTTGGAGCTCGGTTCTTCTGTGACTGGGCCCCTCACCCTTTTTCCTTGTGTCCCCAGGTGCGCCACGGACCACAACATAGACAACACCATGGAAATGCTGCAGGAATGGCTGGCAGCGGTGGGCGATGACTATGCCACTGTGGTCTGGAGGCCCCAGGGGGAGGCCAGGTGTTGATCTGAGGGGAAAGGTGTTGGGGAGGATGAGGCAGCTGGGGCCCAGAGAGGAAGTGGGACAGGCCAGAGCCATAGCCGCCAGGCCTCTGTCCACTGCCCTGCAGAGGGGGAGATATCTAGCCCAGGGGAGTATCTCACCTCTCACCCCCTCAGGTCCTACCCAGACGAAGAGGGTCCCAAGCACTGGACCAAAGAAAGGCACCAGTTTCTGATGGAGTTGAAGCAGGAAGCCCTCACCTTCGCCAGGGGCTGGGGAGCTGACTATATCCTGGTAAGGAAGCTTGGCCTAGGATTGGGCTTCTGAAAGGCAGTAGTGTCTGTCCCCAATAGAAATCTGGGTGAGACTGAACCACCAGATGGCTGAGTCCTTCAGCAGGCTACCTAGGCCAGAGCCCAGACCAGATGTTGAGCTTGGATCCTTACATTAGTGCTCAGACTAGGTACAAAGCCTGGATCCCTGGGGTGGATCCCAGGATTTATACTGAGCCTAGATTCCTGGCCTAGAGCTCAGAGTATAAACTGAACCTGAATCCCTGCACTAGAGCTCAGTATAGGTGTTTGGATCCATTCCCTAAGCCAGATTTCAGATGAGGTTCTTAGATCAGCAACTCAGGTATAATAACTGGACCCTGAGGGCTGGGCGCAGTGGCTCATGCCTATAATCCCAGCACTTTGGGAGGCCGAGGTCAGAGGATTGCCTGAATCCACAGGTTCAAGACCAGCCTGGGCAACTTGGTGAGACCTCATCTCTACGATAAATCAAAAGATTAGCCAGGCATGGTGGTACATCCCTGTAGTTCCAGCTACTTGGAAAGCTGAGGTAGAAGGAGCCTGAGCCTAGCAGGTCAAGGCCACAGTGGCTGTGAGCATGCCTGTGCACTCCAGCCTGGGCAATAGAATGAGACTCTGACTCAAAATAATAATAATAATAATAATTGAACCCTGAGCCAGTGCTCCAGACTAGATCCCTGGTCTAGAAACAGATTTGCTGAGTTTGTTGGCTAGACCTCTCTCAGGGAACACCTGTTGGATCCTAGGAGCCACTCTGGGTCTCTGATAGGATCCTACTCAGTGCATTCCTTGGAGGGCTGCAGTCCGGACAAGGCTGGGGCCTGTGATATCCCCTCCCCACAGTTTGCAGACACAGACAACATTCTGACCAACAATCAGACACTGCGACTTCTGCTGGGGCAGGGACTCCCTGTGGTAGCCCCTATGCTGGACTCCCAGACCTACTATTCTAACTTCTGGTGTGGGATCACCCCCCAGGTGAGGCCGGGCTGGGGGCCGCAGGAGGACTGAGGCTCTGGGAGGAGGGACGTGGGAAGCACGGAGCCTGAAGGCCTTGGGGGCTGTGGGCAGCAGCAGGGGAATCCCTCTCATAGCCAGGCCATCCCCTCGTCCAGGGCTACTACCGCCGCACGGCCGAATACTTCCCCACCAAGAACCGCCAGCGCCGTGGCTGCTTCCGTGTCCCCATGGTCCACTCCACCTTCCTGGTGTCCCTGCGAGCTCAAGGGGCAGATGAGCTCGCCTTCCACCCTCCTCATCCCAACTACACTTGGCCCTTCGATGACATCATTGTCTTCGCCTATGCCTGTCAGGCTGCCGGTGAGGATCATCCCTCTTGGAGCATTCCTTGGGGGCCTCTGGGCCTTTGCGCATGCTGTTTCCTCTGCTTAGCATGCCCTTCCCTGCTCTGCGTTTCATTCTTTGAATTCCTGTTTGTCCCCGGGGTCATAAGCCTTCTAGAAGCCACTGCCCCAGTGGGCTGGATGCTGTTCTTCTGGCCGTCGTCATCAAGGTGCATTTATGAATTCTTTCACTGGGCAGATGTTTATGGAGCACTTGTGTGGTGGGCACTGGGGAGACGGTGGTGAGAAAAATCAGGCAGTCCCTACCACCTCCTCAACCTCCAGTCCTGTCAATCAAAGAACCACACAATAGCTGGGCGAGATGGCTCACGCCTGTAATCCCAACATTTTGGGAGGCAGAGGCAAGAAGATTGCCTGAGCCCGGGGGTTCGAGACCAGCCTGGGTAATTTGGCAAGACCTCATCTGTACAATTAAAAAAAAAAAAATAAAAACTGCCGGGCTTGGTGGTTCAGCCTGTAATC